TCGATACGCTTGCTGCTGCTGCTGCTGCTGCTGCAGGATTGAGGTGTACGTACACCTGAGGCGGCAGCGGCAGCGGTCGGGGGCAGCAGTAGCAGCAAAAGCAGCACGACTGTCTCGGGCTTTAACAAGATTGGGGTGTATAGGCACCTGTGTAGGGGGAAACAAATAAAGAAAGAATTAATTTAATTAAAAGAAGAAAAAAAGAAAAGGAGATACAAATACAGGAAGCTGCTGCTGCTGCTGCTGCTGCTGCCGTGCTGCTGTGCAGCACGGCTGTCTCCGGCTGCCGCGGGGGGGGTCTAGTAGTAGCGAGGCCGTTCGTCCACACAACAAGCACCAGCAGCAGCAGCAGCAGCAGCAGGCAGCAGGCAGCAGCAGCAGCAACAACAACTGCAGCAACAACTGCAGCAACAGCAGCAACAACTGCAGCAGCAGCAGCAACACAAGCACTTATCTTAATATTTCAGCATAACTTGCTGCCTTTGTCTGCCTAGTGCTGCTGCTGCTAGGAGCACCGCAGCAGCAGCAGCAGCACGGCACCAGCAGCAGCAGCAGCAGCAGCCCGTGGTGTGGCGTAGTATTTAAGGCCTTCTGCTGCTGCTGCTGCTGCTGCTGCTGTGCATGTCTTGCTGCTGCTGCCTTTTTATAATTAAATTATTTATTAATTAAATAAAAATAAACCTTGTGTCTGCTGAGGTGTACGTACACCTCGTGCTGCAGTGCCATCTGTGCATACCTCTCTCCCATCTCGTGCAGCAGCAGCAGCAACAGCAGCAGCAGCAGCAACAGCAACAGCAACAGCAACAGCAGCAGCAACAGATGAGCCTCCTTCTTGCTTATTATATATAAATTATATTTTTATTTATTTTTATTTATTATTTTTATTAAATAAAAAAAAGAATTTTTTTTTATTTCTTTTTTTATAAGACAATATACGAGCTGCCCGTACACCCTGTGCAGCAGCAGCAGCAGCAGCAGCAGCAGCAACAGCAGCAGCAGCAGCAGCAGCACGTGCAGCTTGTTGCTGCTACACACATACACACATTTATACACACAGAGGCATAGAGGTATACTGCTGCCTCCCCTCCCCTCTTTTTCTTCCTTCTTTTTTATTTATTTATTTATTTATTTATTTATATTTATTTTATTTATTTATTTACTTATTTATATTTATAAATACTCCTGCTGCTGCTGTTGTTGCTGCTGTTGCTGCTGCTGCTGCTGCTGCGGGTCCTTAGAGGGTGTCTCCCTCCCCTTACACCCAAGGCCTACTAAGCGCTGCTGTTGTCTTTCCCCTCTCCTCTCCCCCGCAGCAGCAGCAGCAGCAGCAACAGCAGCAACAGCAGCAGCAGCAAAATAGTATTTATTTGTTTGTCAGTAAAAAAATAAATAATATTTCCTTAATAAATAAATATATATATAAAAAAAAAAGAAAAAAAAGAAAAAAATTAATTAACTAGGTGTATATACACCCCAGCATCTATATATATATTTATATCTATATAATTTATTTATTTATTTATTTATTTATTTATATTTATATTATCCTTAATTAATTGCATGCATGCAGTGTCTTGGCATGCATGCATGCATGCATGCAAAAAAGTGCATGCATGCATGCATGCATGCACCTTGCTTGCTGCTGCATGTGGGGCTGTCTTAGTATTAGAGTTGCAGCAGCAAGTGCTGCAGCACAGGTAAGGGCACCTCCCCTGCTGCAGCAGCAGCTGCAGCAGCAAGTGGTGCAGCTGCTGCTGCTGCTAGAGCTGCTGCAGCTGCTGCTGCTGCTGCTGCAGCTGCTGCTGCTGTAGCAGCAGCAGCAACAGCAGGGAATCGATACTATAGAGGAGACAACACTTATATAGTATATACAGTAAGGAGACAGGAGACAAAAAAGGAGACAAAAAAGGAGACAAAAAAGGAGACAAAAAAAGAGACAAAAAAGGAGACAAAAAAGGAGACAGACACCCCACATATGTATACACTAATAAAATAAATAAAAAAATAAATAAATAAAAAGGGTTTGCTACTAAACCCTAAACCCTAAACCCTAAACCCTAGGAAAAAGATAATACATTTTATTATTGTTATAAAAGAATTTATAAACCCTTATTTTATTTATTTATTATATAATAAATAAATAAATAAATAAATAAATAAATAAATAAATAAATAAACAAATAAATAAATAAATAAATAAATAAATATAAATATAAATAAATAACTATATCAGTATAAGGAAAAAATAAATTTAAATAAATATATAAATAAATAAATAAATAAATAAATAAATAAATAAAAGATAAATATAATTAACATAATTAATTAATTAATTAATTAATTATCTAATTAATTACTTAATTAATTAATTGTCTCCTTTGCCTTAATTAGTTATAAGGAATGTTTCTTCTTCTTAGTTAAGGAGACACTTCTTTTATTCCTTTTTGTCTTTTTTTTTTTTTTTTTTTTTTTTTTTTTTTTTTTTTTTTTTTTTTTTTTT